ACGCATGGTTGCTCACTAATTTGCAGAGCTCTTTTCTTGACAATTTTGTTCTATTTTAAAATAAGGTTATATGTTGAAATTAGTTTGATAAAAAAGATTGATATTGATTTTTGTTTTGACTGTACTAATCTTATGTTTTGACAAAAAATGATCTATGTTTTGATTTTTTTCGTCAAAATTAAAGCTGATTTGACTTTGGTCTCAAGCAAGTATGGCCTGCGCGACCAACAAGTCGAAAAATTGAAAACGTCGCTTCTAGTTTTAAGAAAAAAAACACAATTTGCAATTTTAATAGTTATCTATCCATTTATGTTCAAATATCATGATTTTTGTTCCGAGTCTTAAAATACTTGAACGCGGGCTGTTTTTTTTATAATCTTTAGGCAATTATTGAATTTTTATCTAGCTTTTTTTGACGGAACTTTTATTTGTAATCGTGAAGGTATTGAGCTCAATCTTAAATACTTATTTCAATTATGCTCGTTTTTTGTCAAGTTATGGGGGTATAACACATTGCCAATTTGGTCAATTCGGGATAACTATTCTAGAAAATGATCGCAAGATAAGTTTGTTCTATGGTCGCGTATGCGGAAATTCAATCTTCCAGAAATCGCTTTGACTTACAAACAAAAGCGCCTTTTGATTTCTTTGACTTTTTGCTAAAAGCAAAACATATCACTTTGTACTTCATTTTTTTTTCTAAAAAAAAGCTCAAAATTAATCAAAATATTTCGTTTCTTTTTTTAAAATAAAAGTAATATCAAATTTTTAAATACAAAAATTATCCCCTAGAGCATAAAAAATTTTTCTGAACCTTAAGAATTTTACCTTGATACAGGTAGTCTTGATACATAAAATTTTCAGTTTTTATCTTCAACCAGGAACTATATTTACTGTTTTTTATTTGGACTTCTGCTGCATTTTTCATATCTGCTCAGTAAAAAGAGAATTCGACCAAATGCATTACAATTAGAGTTGTTCTTTTAAAAAAAGAAAATTTGACAATCAAAAACAATTAGACATTTAAGCAATTCATTATAACAACAACAGTTTTCAAAAATTTAAAACAGATTATAACCAACTATAATCGAATAAAAATTTTTTAAAAAGTCTCCTAAAAAATTCATAAATTATCATAAAATTTTTTTGTGAAGTGTTATCACTCAAACAACATCTCTTAAAGATGGCAATTTTGCTGTCAGAAAAAGATTTTTTGTCACAGTTTGGATCATCTAATTACGAAAATTTGACTTGGAAGATAATTTTTATAAACATCCATACCTTCATTCTATTTAATAAAATCACGCGATATGCAAAAAAAATCACTATTCAAACTAATTCTTGAGCTGAAACGATGTGCCAATAATCATGAAATTGCCATCAAAAATATTGAATTGCTTTGAAAAGAGCTAAGACATTTTTTTATAGAATGCTTAATTTCTATAAAATGCACAAGTTAGATGCAAATTAGAAAAATTCTTTTATCTTAGATTAAAAGTCAATGGAAAGTTTAATAAATTAGAAGATCGATTTTAAACATTTTTTTAGAGTTTAGTGATTTTTTTTGGGTGCGAGTACTTCAAATTTAAAATTAGAAGACCCAGCAAAAATCACTCTCTCCTAACAATAAGGTACTTCAAAATTTTGTTCGAATTTTTTTCGGAGGCAAGCGTCATGTTTGTTCTTTTGATTTCTGTAGAATTCTTATTTAGATCTCATTTATGCAGTACAAGAGAGTCTGAATTGAAACAATTGTGTTCTTTTGTTTCAAGAAAAATTTTTCACTCTTGTTTAAATTAATAGATCTTTTATACCAAAGCAAATAAAAATCCCGAAGAAGAGACATTAACCTTTTTCATGAAAGAACACATTTTTCAAAATCCTTATTTTAGAAATTTATATAATGAAGACGCTATTGTTGTCGCGTGCTTAAAAATCACTTTGGTAACAGAAGCTTGAGAAAGAATCAAAGAAACAGCAAGGAAAGTTTGACTTGTTTTTTGTTGAAACAGTTTAAGTTATAAGATTTCTAATTTAAATTATATGGTTTTATAGCTCTTTCAATTCAAAACTATTTATTGATAAACGTTTTTTTAAAAATAAAAACTAACCCAATTTGGGATAATTGCATGCTTGGATCAAATTTTTTTTGTTTCGCTGGGAAATCTGAGGTAAATTCCACCTTTGAAATTAGAAGTCGATACTTCTTTCTGACCTTTAGACTATCGTAAATGGAGAGAGAAACTTAACTAATTTTTGGCAGATGATATTTAATTGCTCTCATACAGTGCAATATATCAACAACCATTCATAAATGAAATGTTTTATACATGAATGCTCATCTGTAATATTTAAAAGATGTTCAAGACTGTTCTTGGGAAACAAAACGAAAAAAAAACATCACAACTTATGAAAAAAATCTGAACTACGTTTTTTGGCTGTAAAGAAAAGTAGTTTTGAAATATTAGTTATAATTTCAGCTAACTACTCACGATGCATCCATTTCGTCTTTTTTAAACCATATGTTCAATACTGTGTGCGAGTTTGTGAGATTTGTGCCGTAGATAAAAACACCTCTGTCCTTAATTTTCTCTGAAGCAGACGGATCTGTCGCAAATATTGTGTTCCGTAGTCTGTAGATTTATAGGATCTCATTTATATTAGTTATTGGGCTGTAAAACTAGGGGCCCAGCTAAAAACTCAAATTTTCAGATTTGGTGAGGTAGTTATCGAGAAAAGGCAAAAAAATTCATAAACGGTAAAAAAATCCCTATTATTTCACCTTTAAGAGGACCACAAGGGGATAACCGCTTATGCAGCTATATGACTGCAAAAATTGTCGCATGCTAATCGGCAGAAATGGGATTAGACTAGTCTCCGATTTAGACAATAATTGTTATTCCTATGGTTATTAAGTATCACTTTCTTATAGGTTTTCAAAACATCCATGTTGTTTGTTCGTTATTTGTGACGGGGGAAGGGGGTGAGTTTCCTAAATACTTACTTAACCTTAACCCCAGAAAAAAATTAAGGGGAAAAAGCAACGAACATTTACTTCAATTTTTACGCTTGGCAAGATCTTGATCTAAATTTTACAAAATAAATGAGCACCTTATGGTCATTCCATTTCTGTCCAAATACAGTTGTTCCAGTTGAGTAGTTTTTGGAATTTCAACAATAAATGGCGTTCCTTTTGGATGCAAATTGTGAGTTAGCTTAATGCTGCGAATTTTTTTACAATTCGCATTTAGAATTGTCGTGAAACCTTCTGCTTTGTCATACATAGTATCGTTTATATGAATCCAGCTGTAAAATGCATCTTTTGGTATAGGGTGGTCGCCTTTAGATTCATTCATTCGAAAATTGACGTTTCGCGTATTGTGTTTTTTTTTAGTATATCGTGATTTTCTGTAGGCTCAAATTTATCAAAAAAAAATATGTAACATCTTTAATTTTTTTGATAATATTAAATATACAATGAAATAAATTCCAATATTGATGAAAAACATCAACAAAGGACGGATATAGGATTTTCTCAGGAGGGGGTTTCAAAAAATTTGAAAAAAAACAGGCCAAAAAGGAGTTTTTAGACATTTTTTGGAAATTGATTACCAAACAAATTGCTTGGGAGCACATAAATTAAGTCATGCATCTCCATGTTTGACAACAAAATTACTGGTATTTTTTGCTCGAAACGAAAAAATTTCAAATTCAAATGCCCAAACTGCCCGAAAGTCATTGTGTTTGAACTAGGTTTTTCATTATTTTTTGCAGACGAAAAACCGTTTTCATTTGCATGAAAAAGGTG